GGGTCACAGGGTGGTACCGCAGCTAGTGTGGTCTCTGCCGAGCTTCCACCTCCCCTGCTGAACGTCTCCCTGTTCCACGCGCACTGGGCCGGGCTGCTCGGATGACTGGAGGCACCGCAGAGCATGTGGTCTCTGCTGAGCTTCCACCTCCCCTGCTGGATGTCTCTCTGCTCCATATGCACTGGGCCGGGGTGAGTTTCTGAGGCTGGGAAGTCCAAAGTCCATCTGGTGGTAGCGACAGTGACCCAGTGGTCTCACATTGCAAATGGTGGAAGCAAAGAAAGCAGAGCAGCAGTTATTTTTTATACCAAGTGATTATCTTTATTTAGGAATGTGATTTTTGAATATCACTTTGAAAGTTGCCTGAAACCTGAATGGTTTGTATAACTTGTGGCTTTTAATGTTTCCATATATTTTTGTACTTCTCATAGTAAGTTTTGCTGTGTCCTAAGTTATCATTGCTCAAAGGGGCGCTGCCTGTGTCCTGCTGGTGACCGACAGGAGGGTCACCTGGGAAAGGGGAGGAAAACAGCCAGATACCACAGGAGAAGCAGACGGTCATTGAGGATCATGTTGTAGGATTGTGGGACAGCTGGCCCTGACTGGCACTGTGGAGTGTCCTGGAGGGAGGGGCCACTGGAGCCCCTTGGCTTCTGCCTCAGCTCCTCTCACCAGTGCCTCCTGGTTGGAGGAAAGGTCAGTTTTCAAGGAAGTTCATGTTCTGGGAGGTTTTGCAGCAATTCAGAGCTGAAACAATTGATGCCAGATTATTCTTATGAAGTTTGACATTTAGTTTTTTTAAAGTTAGATGTATCTAACCTCTGTAGACTCTCCTGTAAGCTTTATTGTCTAGGTCTGAGCTGAGTCCACATCTGAAAACCTGGCCTGGTCCCAGGTGTGCTGGCTGGTGGACATGTGGAAGGTGGAGCTCAGGAGAAGTGCAGCTGGCTTCCCCTCCTGTGTCAGATGGTGACCAAGTTACCCAGACAGTACGCTTTTGTAGGAGGGTGCCGGTGTTGTCCACACTTCTTACTCCTGCTCCCAGGCCAGTTCCAAGGTCAAGGTGTGCAGGTGCTTGTGCCGCTGGGCCTGTCACGGTGATTGGAGAGGCCAGGCTGCACCCCTTCCTGCTTGGTGGGCAGGGGGCCAGGGGGAGGGGGCAGAGGGTGCAGAGGCTACAGGGGTTTCACTGCTGGGAGCTTCCCATCCTGTCCAGACTTGTCCTTTCCACTGGGCCACCTCCCTGATGCCTTTCCACATTGACCAGAAGAAGTTGGGGATACAGGTGACATCCCTCTTATTATAAGCCCAAATTTTAAAGACGATAATTTTATGTGTTTCAGTAATAGTTTTCCAGGTCACAAAATGGTGTTTCAAACATGGTATTTAAAAGTCCAGAGTCCTGTCTTGCCATTTAACAGCACTCAACATGTTGCGGGGACAGATCCTTCTGTATTTACAGTGTAGGGTCACTAAAAGGTGTTAGAATGAGATAAATCTACTGAGTTTCCATCTGGAATGGTTGGTTCAGAGTTTCTGCGGTTGAGTTGATGGGTGAGAAGGAAGGGGGAAAGAGGGAGAGATAGTGTAACTTCTACTGAGGGTCTTTGAATATCAGTGGTTTGCAGGATATTTTATACAGTAATTCCAGGTCCAGGAGGAGAGCTGACAAGGGCCACGGCTGTCCATATTCCCACCCTGAGAGACAGCTGTGAGTATGGGTGATAGAGACATGCTGTCTGCTTCAGTGCCCTGCACAGCTTGTGCTGTAGGACCCCTTTCTGAGAGATTCCAGAGTGTTTTGTGTGCCGTGATGCCCCATAGCCTGCAGGTCTGGGCCACACTCCTTTTGCTGCCTGACCAAGGATGGCTTCCTGAGCTGCTTGTTGCTGTGTGTGCCGTGAATTGTTGACAGGCTGCTCTGGCGCTGGTTGTTTGGTTGCTTGGTTGGTTGGGTTCTCACGTGAGACTACTGTTGGCCAGGATATTTAGTGAAATCATCTTCGCCTTGGCTGAATAGCTCCTTGACTGTCCTAGGACCTGGTTTTTTACATTGATATGTGTTAGGGGATAGGGAGCACCTGGTGAGGGTTGCAGTTGGGGGCGCCCACAACACTTTAGATTATCTAAAACAGAAGCAGTTCTCGCCTTGTCAGTTAAATATTATTTTCTGAAGGTAAGGAAATTCATTATCTGTTTTTAAGGAGTTCTCAGCTCTAGGAATCTTTGAGTCGTGAGGGTTGCAGTTGGGGGCGCCCACAACACTTTAGATTATCTAAAACAGAAGCAGTTCTCACCTTGTCAGTTAAATATTATTTTCTGAAGGTAAGGAAATTCATTATCTGTTTTTAAGGAGTTCTCAGCTCTAGGAATCTTTGAGTAGGGGATTAGATACTTACGTGAATTATTGCATTTGTCTTCCAGACTTCAAAGCAAGGTCAAATTTCAGGTTGAGAATCTAGGAGGGGTAGAACCACTGTTTTGGTGAAAATCTGAGATTGATTCATTCAGAGTGCTGTGTTTGAGATCTGCGTGTTGGGAGTGGCTGCTGGTTGCAAGGAAGGTGAGCCAGAGGTGTCGTTAGGAGTCAGTGCTGTGGGCTGCAGCGACCCGTGTTGCCGGGATCTTTGCAAGGAGGCTGATGTGTAACCAAGAGCAAAACTTCGGGGGTGAAAACTCTTGTTCCTCACCTTTGTGTGAGATAGTTTGACCCATAAATTTTATTCTTTAGTATCTTTATTTATACGCAGGTAACTTGAAAAAAGCCCACTTGAGATTCTTCAGTCTCCTTTTTACAGGCTGATGCCCTGAACTTTAGGCTGCTGCTTTTCAGTGATGCCATTGACCAGGAACTGGGTTCCCCCCAATAAGTGACCTGGACTTTGTGACTGCATCCCTATTTCAAGATGATGTTTTGGAAAATTTCTTCTTCATTCTATTGTGATTCCTTTATTGTGTACAGAAACTGTTCTCTTTTTATTAGGTAGTGAGTGTTTAGAATCAAAATTCTGGAAGATGCAGCAAATTATTTTGGTAATTTATGTTTAAAATGTATTTGTAACATTTAAAAATAATTTTTTTTAGGCACAAATATTTAAACATGGAAAACGTGAAGACTGTTTACCCTATGGTAAGATTTATTTTTAAGAGAAGGTATGTTTATGATGTGAGTTTGCCCATATTTAATCAAGTTTGTCTCCTTAACACTTTATTAGTGGGTATAAGAATATGTAATGTGGTGTGTTTGAATACTATGATAGTTCTTTGTTTTTTGTTGTGTGTGTGCGTGTTTTAATAATTTGACTTTAGTAAACTCTCCTAGTCATTTGAAATACAGGAAATGCTGAAAACCTTGTAGTGGGAGTGTAGCTGCCTGTGTCCTGGTTCTGGTGGGGCTTGGGGGAGGCAGATGCAGCCCCAACTTGCTGGCCGGCCGACCCCGGGGCAGCTGTTCGTCTGCTTGGTCACCATGGCCACATCTTTTGCCTTCAGCCTCGTCCTCTTGGTTTCAGGTTGAGCCTCACTTTATGAACATGAGGGCAGTGGCTCTCTCCACAGAGAGGTTTACTGCCTGGATCAGGAGGCCCTTCTTTGAGTTCTGTGTCTTAGAAGATGTCTGAATTTCAGATTTGGATAATAGTTTGTTTTTAAAAAGTTGGCTATGATGGAAATTTTCAGACATACGAAAGAGAGATTGGTATAACGCATTCCATATTTCTATCACAAGTTTCAGAGTTTCTAACTGTGGCCACTTCTGCTCCTCACCCCAGCCACATACCCTGTCGTGTGTTTCAGTACGCACCTCTAAAAGAGAGGGGCTCTGTTTAAAAACAGAACCTGGATATCATTATCATCTGAAAAAGTGAACAAAAATTGCCCAGTATCGCCAAATATCCAGTCAGCGGTAGCAGCTGTCCCCTGGGGTCTTGTTTCCTTTTGAGTTATTGTGGGTTATCACTCAGGTTAGTCCTAGCCCAGTTTGGGTCTTTTGAAAAATTATTCGAATGCTGTTACAACTTACCTGGTTCTAAAGGCAAATGTTTGTAAGTTGACAGATCACTCTGCCTGTGATCTCTCCCGTGGCTTCCGCTGCCCTAGTGGCTTGCATATGTCCTGTTTCAGCCTAGGTCCCAGCCACCATCCAGAGCTTCCTCAGGACCCTGCTGCATACCCAACCCCCTGTTCCTTCACTCCCAGAAGTCATGCTTTCTCCTGGTGTCCCCTCTACCTCGTCACCCTCTCCCCATCAGCCTGTTCCCCCATCCTCATCCCCCGTCCTTGTCCCGTGGTCCCCATCGCCTGGGCTCTCGCCTCCATCCCCGACTTCTCTTTGTTCCTCCTCTCTCTTGTGCAGGTGGAAGTCTTGTCCATTTTACCTCAGACCCATCTCTGAAATCCTGCCATGAGTTTCTGTCCCAGACCCTCTTGTCTTTGCCATGGAATGCCATCCTGGCCTCAGTTCCACCTCCTCAAGGCCCACCTTGTCCCCCAGAGTGGCCTTGGCAGTATGGGTGTCCCATCACGCCGTCTTCCCCCTTCGGGCCCAGTCCCCTGTCCTACTGTCACCATCATTCCTGCATGATGCAAGTGACTCCCCCTGCAAACAAAGCAAACCACATAAACCCCCCACCCCATTTTTCTTAGTCCACAGCGTGTCCTTTTGCTCGTCAAGCCTTTGTGGACACCGCCTTCTCCTTAAGTTGCTTCTCCTGCTCTCTGGGGCTCTTGTTTGTTCTGCTGACCTTCATAGTTGCTACTTCATAGTGAGGAGGTTGAGTAAGTTCAACTCCAGCTTCTCTTGGTAAATGACACAGGAAAAGGGGGGTCTTGGTGACTGGGCCTAAGGGGTTCAGTGTAAATTCAGGCCACCACCTGCATTGGGGCCCCTCTGGAATCATCTGTGGCTTCAGGGCTGCAGGTGTAGATGCTGGTGGTGCCGTGGGGTGTCCATGTGACCTTTCCTGCCACTAAATTGTGTGTGCTCTTGTTCACAGCCACCACTGTCCTCGAGTGCCTCGATAGCTGCAGACTCCCCGAGAGCAACCAAACCCTACTACGGAAATTGGGGGTAAAGCTCGTACAGCGGCTGGGGCTGACCTTCCTGAAGCCGAAGGTGGCAGCGTGGAGGTAGGTAGATGAATGCCAAGCGGATGATTTTGGCGTGGTCAGTGCTGTGCCACCTGTGTTTCAGGTAGTGACGGCAGAGTAGACAGTGAGTGAAAAGTGTCTTTTGGGCTGACCTTCCTGAAGCCGAAGGTGGCAGCGTGGAGGTAGGTAGATGAATGCCAAGCGGATGTTTTTGGCGTGGTCAGTGCTGTGCCACCTGTGTTTCAGGTAGTGACGGCAGAGTAGACAGTGAGTGAAAAGTGTCTTTTGCTTTCACTTTTTCTTTAATATCAGAAGTGTTTCTGATTTCAAGAGGAATGGTTTTCCTTCTGGCTATTTTCTCATTGCATCTTCTAGTTAGAATAACTGAAGCAAGAGTGGTCACAAGAAAAGCTTGTTTTTGCGTTTTATGTGACATGTGACTCATGCAACACAACCTCAGTAATTTGGGCTCACTGTTGGGAAAGCTCCATTTTGATCAACGATGAATCTGAATTACAGGCTTCTTCCACAGAAAACCAAGCTCACTCACTAAGTTTTATTCAGAAAAGTATGTGTCCTTGTTGATGGAAATGATGTCTTAATGGTCTGAAGGCTTTAACTAATAGGTTGATTTTGAATTACTGGCTCCCATGGATACAGACTTTTCTAATGTTCTTGGGGTGCTATATTTTTAATAACCGTCAGTTTTATTTCAAATATTAATATGTGTGGTTTGGGAAGAAATTATTTGATTAAGCTTAGCTCAACCTGTGTCCCAAAGTATAGCAAATTCCAAAGAAGTATGTTGTGTTTTAGTGATGTTTTGCTGAAATACCTTTTGGTTGTTCAGTATAAAGCTCATTCTGTAAGAAGTTATTTATCAAACAAAATATTAGTGGCCAGTTCCCAAAATGCCATGGAAAATGGTTCAATACTGTATTAGGCAGAGTTCTCCAGAAAAATAGAACCAATGGGATGTATACATATCCATAGAATCATGTAGTTATGGAGGCTGGCAAGACCCAAGACCTGCAGGGGGAACTGATGGGCTGGAGACCCACGAGAGCCAGTGTTTCAGTTGGAGCCTAAAAACAGAAAACAGCTGACTTTCCAGTTCAGAGTTCTTCAGGCAGGAGGGATTCTCTGTGGCTGAGAAGGGTCAGCCTTTTAGTTCTGTTCAGGCCTTCATCTGAGTGGATGAGGACCACCCACATTGGAAAGGTGGTCTCTTTTACTCAGCCCACGGATTCAGACGACAGTCTCACCCAGAAGCACCTCCACAGAAACCCCAGAATAGCACTTGACCAAACAGCGGGCACCCTGTGGTCCAGTCAAGTTAACACTTAAAGTTAACCATCACAAGTACTAAACTTAACACATATGTGGGAAGGAAAATAGTATCATAATTATTTTGTTTAGTCTGTGTAGCCAGGTACATTTAATGCAGTTATTAAGATTGGGTTTAAGTCTACCAAATGTGCTATTTGCTTTCTCTTTTCAATTTTTTTCCCCATATATCCTTTTTCTTATGTATTTCTAAATTTTTTCCATTTTTATCTCCTCTATTAGATTTTTGTTTCATCTTTCAGTATTATTCTGCTGTTGTTTATCTTGCACTGAAGAGGATGAGGCTTTGTTCTGGGGGCTGTTGAGTTTCTGGCACTTCCTGCCTGGCTTGGCTCTGGGCTTGGTTAGTAGGCTTGGTTCAGTTCTTCTCTGAGGGTACAGCCCTGACTCTTGTAGTGGGGTCGTTGCTTTGAGTGTCCCTCTTCCCCACAATATCACATGACCTCTGAACTCTCCACTAGCTATTGGCCTCCCAGATGTTCTCTGACAGGTGTTTCTGGGTCTTACTCTGTGCTTGCTTATCTTAGGTGTTACCTCACTAGGCATTGTGCTGGTTGCTTGGTGATCCTAGCAGCGTTCCTGTGATGGCCGGTGGTTATATTGCTACCTAACAGCACCCCAAAATTTAGCAGCTTAAAACCATGCATTTTTTCCCTCATGGTTTCTTTGGGTCAGAAGTCTGGTCAGGGTCCCTCCCTAGGCTTCGTGAAGGTCTCGCCAGGGCTGCTGCTGTCTCAAGCCTTGATGGGGAGGATCTGCTCCCAGCCCCACTCGCGTGCAGGTCGGTGGAATCCAGTTCCTTGCGGGATGTTTGCTGGGGGCCTCCTGAGGCTCCTGGCCATGTGGCCTCTCCACAGGGCAGCTGACAGTATGGCAGCCACTTCCCTCAGGAGTGAGCGGGGGCGAGAAGGATAGGCCACGGTTGATGGTGTCAGAGCTGGTGTTCTGTGTTCTGCCTCTGAAGCCCACATAATTCACATTCTGGGAGTTGCCATCAGGCTGCAGCCCCTGCATTCACTGGAGCTTGCCCTGGTGCCCTGTCCTGGGAGTCAGCTCACGCTGCCTGCCCCGTGCCCCCCTTTAGCAGAAAAGCCACATTTATGGGCCTTGCCCTGCACCAGGCTGGTCCAAGTGCTTTGTGCATGTCCTGTCATTTGTCCTCATAAGCAGCTGTCTGGGTAGGACTGCATCCCCGTTTTAGAGAGGGATAAACTGAGGCACAGACCGGTTTAGGAGCTATGCAGAGCTGTGCAGCTAAGTAAGCATGTTGCTAGGCCTGACCAATGAGCTGGATTCCAGAGTCTATGCTGTGGGCCTGATTATGGCACATCCAGGGGGAGATGATGCTGGGGTCCCCATTAGGGTAGGGAAGAGGGCTGTGGTGTGTGGGAACTTTTGAGAGGTCTTCAGGAAGCAGAATCTGGGGATGGATGAGCTCTGGCACATGGTGATGAAGGATCTGTGTGTGGCCTGGGCAGGCAGCGCCTTTCACAAAGGGGCTTCCTGGAGCAGCGTGCTTTTGGAAAGGCAAGCTTGCTCGCTTGTGAATAAGGACGAGGCAGGTTGGTTGCTAAGTGCCCCTACCATCCCCTGACTTTCTACACTCATGGCTACAACATGTGAGCATGTTCTGGAATTTGGACGTGCATTCTGTGGTTCACGTCAGGCTGTTCTTGGCAGTTCATGCTGGTGACAGTACTTAGATTTCTTCCTTTTCATCCTGTCTCTGTGAGGTGCATGGAATTTTCACAGGCATCCTTTAAGATCGAAGTGACACTGGTTGTCAGTTTCATTCATGAAGGTCAGGTACTTCTTAGGTGTAACAGCTAAGTTGTAACAGCTGACCTGAGAATCTTTGCTCTGCACAGGTACCAGCGTGGCTGCCGGTCTCTGGCCGCTAATCTGCAGCGTGTCACTCAGGGTCAGAGTGAGCAGAAGCCGCTCGTTGTGACTTCTGACCGTGAGGAAGACTGCGACGTCCCAGAGGGGGTGGAACGTGTGATAGGTGCGTGGCCTGCATGGTGGACCTCCCTCAGCCTCTGCTCTGGAGCATCATCTGGGCCCTTCCCTGTCCCTCTCCAGCTTGCTCCCTTCTTCACCTCCTGGTGCCAGCACCATGTGACCCCCTCCCCTTCAATGAGCACATGGCCACTGACACTGACCTGTGCTCTGGAGCCTGAGGCTGAGGTCTGTCCGTGTCCGTGGACATTCTCTTTCCAGTAGCATCTCAGCTCCTCTGCTATGCTGCCTTCCTGTTTTCCTGACTTGAATGTGTCCAGTTGCTTGCCCTGAATGGCAGGTGTTTTTGCAGGAAGAGTTCTCCCAGGGAAATTAAGTTGGGGGACTCGGGGATCAGGTCTCCAGCTCCTTGGCCCCCACACTCTGCCTTGTCCTTCAGGCTTTCCTTAGGGGCCATTTCAAACCCCCCAAACCAGCTGACACCTTGCAGAGGTCTTCCTACTTGGTGGTCTCAGACTATGGCATAGAGGAGGTCAGAACTGTCAGCAGAGCCCTTGCTGTGGCCACTCCTGTCCTGCCCACCTTGACAGGGCCCCGCCCTCTCCCCATCCTCCTGAGGAGGTGGGGGAAATGGGCCAAGCCGCCTCTGCCGAGGTTCTGCTCTCTTCTGATATCCACTCTGCTTCCTTCAGGCAGGTTTCTTTCCAGAGTGTCTACGCTTGCTATCTACACTGTTTACCTCACCCACCAAGACAGCTTTTGTCCCATCGCCAGCCCTCCCATGCATTTCTGTTCTTTTCTTGACCCAGGATGCTTCTCAGAGCCCCCTTTTCTGGTTGGCGTGACGTGGTGCCCAGTGTCTGCCTTAGGTAGCTTGAAGGCACTTGAATTCCCACTCTCCCAGGTTGAGGCCTCAGTCTGTCTCCTTCTTGCTGTCCCCTGCCCCAGCATGTTCCTGTCCACTCCCCGTCCCCAGAACACCCCTTCGGCCTGTGTTCCAGCACCTGTGCTGGCTCCACACTTGTCCCTCGACCCCCTCCCAGTCGCTCCTGACAGTTCTCAAGTCAGGCCTTTGGGGATGCTTGGTGCCCTAGGGCCAAGGTTTTCACCCTAGTGGGGCTTGCAAGACCCTTACCGTGTGACCTCAGACCACCTCCCCAACTTTCTCTGGGCCTTTATGTGTTTTTTCCTGAAGTTGGCCTGAATCCAAGACCCGTTCCCCAGGAGAGCACATCTTCCTGCAGCCTCTGGCAGACAGTTTTTTCTGGGAAGCCGCCCCAGCTTGCTTCAGTAGCCTTGACCTCTTGCCCCCTGTGACCTTGGGAGAAGCCCTTGGTGTCAGCCTTCACCAGGGGCAGGGGGCTGCTCCCCATGACTGCTTTGACGGGATGGATCTGCTTTTTGGGAACAGTGGCCAAGATTGGCTTTCTATGATTATTTAAAAACACAGGGAAGGAAATATTCTTCTTATAATTAAAATGAAGATTCTTAATGTAATTTCTGTCAAGGTATTCTTTTGAGTAATGTGCAGGATGGGTTACCTTAAAGCTGGAAGATGAAGACCTTTACCTAGAATAATGTTTGGTGACTCTGAGGCAGATGTAGAACTCACCTTCCTCTGTTCTTACAGAGCAGCTGCTGGTCGGGCTGAAGGACACAGACACGATTGTGCGATGGTCTGCAGCTAAAGGGTAAGTGCCCGTGGCCTGGCTGGGGGCCGGGCAGACATCTTAGCGGTTCTGCTGAGCCTTTCTGTCATTAGATACTTCATATGGGATTTGAGACTGTAAAACCTTATAGATTTGTACAAAAAAAGAAAAAGATTTTTTTTTTCCCTAACATATCTATTGTTTTATATCTTGATTTTAAAGATAATTACCAAGGTTGAATTTCAGGCTCCTTCGTTTTCTTGCCTTTCTGGCTAGCGTGTGCAGAACCATAGTTCTTGGCACAGCCCAGATTTGCCTTTTTTACCCTTTAAGTGCTCCTTTCCTTGTTCTTTCACATTCTCATCACTGTAGTCCTCGCCTGTTACCCCCTGCCCCCAGCAGTGATGGTGTTGGCAAGAGCCCCCTTTTGTGGAGGGACCAGGTGTCAGCATCTCCTTTGACCCTCACAAGCACCCCTCTGAGAGGGAAGGGGCAGCTGTTCACGCTCTGTTAGACCTGAGGGGACTGGTGTGCATCTCACACCCCAGCTGAAATGCCTCCGTGGAGGACGTGGCCCGGGCCTGGACACAGTGGCCCAGTGGGGTGTGGGGCCATGGAGGGACAGTTGACCCACACAGAGTAGATGTTTCAGTCATTGGATGAGACCCCTGTGTGGAGAAAGTAAAGCAGGGTGAAGGGCTGGTGGGTGCTGGGTGGGTGGGGGTTGCTTTCAACCATGGGCTCTTCTGGGCTTCCGTGCTGGATCAGTTCAGATGATGAACGCCTAGGAAGGTCTTCACAGGGCTGAGGGGCTCACATGGCCAGCAGTCGATATCCCAGCCCATAGTCATGTCTGGCTGGGTGTGACGGGCTGATGCCCAATGAGAGAGGCTGGGAGAAAGGGGCCTTCCTAGAGGCCTCCAGCCAGGACCCTTCCCTGCTGCTATGTTCAGGACGTGGCCCTGTGAGCTGTCCCTGAGCCGCCTCCATGAGGGGCCTCGGTCCCCCCACAGGTGGCCTGATGGGAGCTGGCATGGTCAGTATCCAGCATGGAAGTGGGGTGGCCTGGCCATCCGCCTGGTGATGGACTCCAGCATGGTGAGAGGTGACTGTGCAGCCCACTGCATACCACCATGGGCACATCTGCCCCTTTGTACCTGCCGCTGCTTCAGACATGGACAGACTCCTCCGTCTGCCTTTCTGTTTTAACATGATGCCATCCCTGGTGTGGCAGGTGACAATGTTTGATGAGCAGAGCATGCGAGGCTCACTTAGGGTCAGCCTCTCCTTTCCCGTTCTCCGGAGGAAAGGAAAATTGCTTGGGACCGTTGACACGTTTCATGTGTGCACTCCATGACAGGCTGGTGGAACTGACGGGGTGTTGCTTTTCTTTTTCAGAATTGGTAGGATGGCTGGAAGGCTTCCCAAAGAACTGGCGGACGATGTCGTGGGGTCTGTGTTGGATTGTTTCAGGTATGTGAGAGGATCAAAATGAGATGTATTTCTGGCTTAATCTCAAATTTAAAGGCAGTGGCTTTTCTTTCCTTAAATCCTTTTACATTTTTTAAAATCGATCTGTTTGTCAGAACCCTAACAGCTCTTTTGTTTCCCCTTTTGAAGTTGAACTTGGGAACTCTAATTATTTCTGGTAGGTTGTTTTTATCAACTCTGTAATATTTAAAAACCTTGAGAAAGAAAAGTCCACTTTAAGCATGTACACCCACAGATGCTTATCTGTAGAAACTGTGGTTGTCTGAGTGAGGGCCAGGTCTACACTGTCCGAGAGCACATTCTGTGATGCTGGAACATCTGGATCTCCCCTAGTGTGGCCACTAGCCACTGTGGCTGCCAGGACCTTGGAATGAGGCTGGCATCACTGAGGCCCAAATTTGAAATTGGATTTAACTCAAATGAGTCGAAGTTTAAATTTAGCCACATTTACATGTACTGTGCTGTATTTGTCTTAGGAGCCTTTCAGGGAGTTCTGGGTGTTTGGGGAGAGTGTGGACTGCGGGTGGTAGGGTGTGGGCTGGATATGCAGGCAGAGGGGCTCAGGTCTGGGGCCCGCACCACAGGGTAAGTTCCTGATGCCTCCCCGAGGATCCTTCACTTTGCTGTGTCTACGTTTCTGCCATTTCAGAAGCAGACGCTTGAGAATGGCGTTCAGCTTGTTCAGTCGCTGTTGCCCTTCACTAGCCTGGGACTGTCTGGGACTGTCACTAGCTGGCAGAAAGCTGTGTTGTCAGCACTTTTGGGTGCTCCAGTACGTGTCATTTGTTAGTCACCAGAGACAGTTTTGCAAGCGCTCCACAGAGTGTTGTCTTCCTTCTGGAACAGCTTTCTTCCTGCACTTAGCCTCGAGCCTGCTCAGTGACAATTTCAGGAGTGCAAGAAGCAACATGTCAGCTATTGGTCATCTTTTTCAGAATAATGTTGCACATATGGCAAATATTCATCTAGCAGAAATATTCCTAGCAGAGAACATATGCTGCTTATTGCAAGTGCTTTATGGAATGCATGGGTTAGGGAATAATACACATTGACCTTCTCTTTACACTTTTCTGCTGGGTTGTCTTAGAATGTGTCCCTGGAGTTCCTCTCTGGTGGTTGTGGTGATGGATGTGTGACTGTGCTGGCCCCTGTTCGTTTGTGCACCTCCCTGGGCAGTGGCTGAGGGGGTGGCTGTCAGCATGTCTGCGGAGGGGTCTTCCTGATTGCAGGAGAGAGCGGAGCTTTGAGAGACGGGATTGGGCAGGGTGGGGAGGACCAGGACCTTACCGTCTTCCATCCTGCCCTTCCCGGCCCCTCTCTGGGCTGGCCTGGCTGTCTGCCCCAAGAGCTTTCTTCTTTTGTCTCTCCTTCCTGATGGTGTTTCTGTACACCCTCCAGCCATTTAGAATTGTCTTTTTATCTACCCTTCCTCCTTCCCTTCTCACCTGTCCTCTGGGGTCTGTTCCCACGTGGCCTCCCTGGGCCCAAGTGTGTGGGTGGGAAGTATCCTCCTGCGTCTGGTGGCACCCGTGCCCTTCATGTCAGCGTGGCAGGTTCCAGGCCTGGCTCGCCTGTCTCTCTCCTGCACTGGGCCTCTCTCCTCTGGCTGCTGCGCTTTCTGCTTGAGGGCCTTGTGGGCTTAACCCGAACATGTCTAATTGAACTTGAGGAACATCTTTTCCCTCAAACATACTGCTTCTCTGGACTGTGTGTTCCTTTCTCCTGGCTTGCAATCGTGTTCTAGCTTCATTCATCCTATGTAGTTCAATCTTCAAACGCTTCTTTGTCGTTATTTTTGCTATTTTAATATGCTCCTCTCATTTTTGTAGCTAGGCTCTAGAGGGTGAAAACGGGCTTGTTACTCTGGATTCCCTAGAGCTCTCAGCCCAAAGCCATGGCAGCAGGGCCTGTTGGAGGGACGGCCTGTCTCTGGATAGCCCCTGCCCACAGTGGGCGCACAATGTGTGATTGTTAAATGTGACATAACAAGGCATCGCTGTGGACCAGGATGCTTGAAGACTCCAAGAAGCAGGGAGTAGCTGGGACGTGGGGTGGACAGTGGCCTGGCATGGCAGCTGCTCCAATCTTGTCCCTCCTTTTGTGTCCTCATGGGATTTGTGATGAGCTGCCAGCCTCTTCTGAAATGGGTCATTAATTACATTAACTGTCAGAACACTCAGCTCCCAGGCAGGGCTGTAAACTTGCTCTCTGCTCTGTCTGTGGGTTGGGTTATGCCGTGACGTGAGCAGCTCCCATCCCCAGAGGGACTTCACAGTGATCCCCGCAGGACCATTGTGACCCATGTGGCCATCTTATGTCAAAAAGATGCCCCCTCCCCCATGTCCTGCCCACCAAATGTGCCCAGCTCCCTCCTGTGGCCCCACAGGACCCCAGGACCCAGGAGGCGGTGTGTTCTGGACCACAGGCAGAGGCAGGGCGCCTGGGAGAAGAGTGTGTCTGCATGGGCATTGAACCCAGTCAGGGTCTCCACTCAGCAGGCTGACTGTAGTCCTGAACCCTGGGTGTGGCTGTGGATTCTGCCGATGTTCCCTCATGTTGTCTGGGGCACCCCAGGTGACAGTGTCTGGAAGCCTGTGGCACTGCCCTCCTCTAGGGAGCAGCCCCTGGGTTCGACAGATGTGCCACATGGATTCCTTTCTGGTCTGTTCTTTTAGCTTTATTGATGTTTTTGACAGGGTGATATTTTAGTCCAAAATTCAGACAAGAAGGAAGCTGATAAAGCCCCAGTCCTGCTCCCTTGGCACATGGCCTGTGCTCCTGGGCACGCAGGCACCTGGGCACCTATTTCTCCTGGGTCCTTCCAAGGGACATTTGGTACAGATGTGAGTGGGTGGACAAAAATGTTTTTCCTTTGGTTTTACGCTGATAGCAGCCTACTCTTCATTCTGCTCCACCCGATGCAACTTTGAGGTCATTTCCTGTTAGTTCAGTGCTCTTCCCATGGCTCTTGATGATCTGAGAGCCACCTTGCTGCGGCTTTCTCCACCTTCCCTTCTCTTGCCTGCCCACTCGTGGCCCCCATTTTCTGTTGTCTTCACTCCTTCGAGACCCCAGGGGCTCCCAGGATTGCCTGAAGCTTAAACCTGAGGGTGGGAACTTGCCGTCTGCTGCTTGGCTGACGCTCTTCCCTGTCTCCCCAGTGTACAAGGACAGGGTCCCCTCTGGGGCATGCAGTATGATATTGGCTTCTCCGGCCAGCCTAGTGGACGATTCCTCCTGGACAGTGTGTCACCTGTTGACCAGCCACAGTGAACACACACGTGTAATTTAGAAATAGACGTTGGCATAACAAGCGTTTTAGTACATCTGAGGAGTCATAACATTGATAGTTTATCACCTTCACTCATGTTGTTAAATCTTTATGAAAAGTGTAAAGCATCTCTCTCCAATTAAAATCCTGATTGACACAAAATGCTAATGTTAAGATTTTGGAAGTGGTTACACAGCCTTTGAGCAGATATCTAATAAAACATCTGGAACTTTAAAAAAAGTTATAATTGTGATTGAGTCGCCCCCATTGGTGAGCTCTGAGGGGCAGCTGTGTCTGCCTCAGTCACTTGTCTCCTCAGGGCCTGGTGCGTGGGAGGCACTTGCTGAGTATCTGCTGAGTGAACACATATTCTTGCCTCTCTCCTGTGTAAATATTCTTGTGTTTATTCTCTCTAGTAATGCAGTTTAGTTGGTTTTTCTAAACATCTCTTTGCCATCAAATTAACTTAATCACAGTCTGTAAAAGTCCCATAATTTGTTTTGCTTTTTGGTGAGATGCATTTCCATATTTATATAGTCAGCAAAGTGTGGAAACTTCACAGCAACTCTCACCAGCCTAAGAAACTGTTATTCTCACTGATAATAATGCCAGAGTCACACCCTTGAGAGAACTTCTGAACCATTTCAGGAAAACTTTTTTTTTTTTTGTCCTTTTTGAGACCGGCCGCACCGTGCTCAGCCAGTGAGCTCTGTGAGCGCACTGGTCATCCCTATATAGGATCCGAACCCGCGGCGGGAGCGCTGCTGTGCTCCCAGCGCCGCACTCTCCCGAGTGCGCCACGGGCTCGGCTCAGGAAAACTTTTATTAAATATAAAATGTTACTTACGACTTGATTAATTGGCATTACAATTGTTCATTAAAAGTCCATATTTCAGATAGTGCCAAAAATCTAAATGCTGTTTCATTATTCTAATTTTTTATCTTGAATTTGATCGCTAAAGTAAATAGTGGGGTATCATTTAAAGGAGGTCTTCCTGCTCCCTTTTTTACTACGTAATCTTAATTTGATAGAATCCCTTTCTGAGTCCTAGACGTTTCTGAAATTTAAATGGGAGTGAGGGTGCTGCTGGCTATGCTGAACAGTTGAGGACTCTGCTGTGCTTAGGAAACCAGGCGTGGGACAGCATGCGCCCTCCCTCGGCGTCTGCCACAACTGCAGCCGGTGCGGACCGTGGACTGCCCGCTTGGGTCTGGGGGCTGACCCAGGACTTTTCCTCAGTATCAGGATGTCCGAGGAGAGGGACTGAACACAGCAGGTGTCTTCATGTTAAGCTGGACTGTTTTATTCTTCAGCCAACTGATACTTTAAAAACCTGCTAACAGGTTTTAATGAGGCTTATGGGTACAGGATATGGAGTTGCCAGCCTGTGTTCCTTGCCAAGCTGTGGGCTTTGAATTGAAAGCTGAAATCAGGACTCTGCTCTCAGTTTTCAGGAGACGGACAAAGCATGGCATGGAGGGTGTCTGGCACTGGCAGAACTGGGCAGGAGAGGCCTGCTGCTCCCGTCCCGACTTGCAGATGGTGAGTAGCTGAAGCGTCTTTGATCTGCATTGTCAGGACTGTTGTAGAACATTGGGGTTCTTCATTTGAACCCATCTTCACACACAGTGTTGGCATAAAAGGACATATTAGACCAGTGTCTCTCATCCTTTTTTCCTTATATTGGCCTTTATAATTTCCTACTTGCCTCTTTTGCCTGCTGTGAAATCTTAATACCACAGCTGTCCTGTATACCTGGGTTTGGAGGGCCATGGACCCCTGTCATGTCTGATTTTCTTGCCCCATCCCCCCAAAACTGTTTTCACCCTTGAGGGGTGCTGTTGCCTGCTAAGAGCACCTGCAGTGGTGCGTATTTGACTTGTAGAACCAGGTACCCCAGGCAATGTCCTGTGTCTCCTGCAGCGGCACAGTGTCCCCTGGCGACGAAGCTCAGGCCAGTGTGGAATTGGGGTGGAGGGCCGAGGAAGCTCTGGAGTGGGCAGGAGTGAGACTGGGCTTGGGGACTGAGGGCACAACGCTGTGGATGTGAAAGGACCACCGAACCCCAGACCAGCTGTCAGGCCATGGCCACATGTAGCTCTGTCTGGTTGATGGGGACAGTCCCTGGGTGTGGCCAGAGGTGCCTCCTGTGTGCAGTGGGAAAGAATGTCTGCAAAGGATTGAGAGGTCCCTTTCCCTAGTGTGTTTGCATCTGGGGAGGTGGCTTCTGTCCAGAATAGAGACACCTGAGATAGGCGCAGCTGTGCATCCTACCAGCGCCAAGCCATGGTGGTGTATGAAGCAACAGCTTTGCACTTGGCATCTTGACACACAAGGAGATCTTTTAAAGCCTGCAATTTCTATTTAATCATTCTGCTTGTGTTTTGTAATAGCTTTATTGAGATATAATTTACATAACATGGTGCTCATCCATTTAATGTGTACAGTTAAGTAGTTTTTAGTATATTTATAGAGTTGTGCATCCATCACCATAATTTAATTCCGGAACATTTTCATTGCCCGCTAAAGAAACTACTCAAGAGCAGTCACTCTACTTTTCCTCAGTGCTCCAGCCTGGGCAACTCCTAATCTGCTTTCTGTCTCTATACATTTGTGATTTCTAGACAGTTCTCTTAGCTATGTGTAGTCTGCAGTACGTGGTCTTTTGACTATGAATTCTTTTTTTTACCTTTCTGTTTTTTAAAAAATTTTTTATTTTATTTATTGAATCAAAATTGATTATACATATTTTGGGGGCTCAACGTTGAGATATGTTGATCAAATCAATATTACTAGCATATATATTGTTACAAATCATAATTATTCTTTATGCCCCTTGTCCAATCTTTCCCCATCCCCTTTTCCCTTCCCCCTCCCCTCTCTAATTACCCTAGATTTCTTCTCTCCTTCTGAAAAGATAATGGTTACTCTGCTGATTTGTTGCCGAGATGATCTGTCCAATGCTGAGAGGTGTGATCAGGTCCCCCAGTATTATCATAGAATAGATGCTTCTTCTGTCACTATGAAATGGGCTTTGTGGAGAGAGACATCCTTTTCTTTATCTCTGCTGGTGACTCTCCTTGTGTCAATGCACTCCAGTGGCTAGCAGAACATCTGTGTGGTGGTTATGGCATCTAGCCACTTTCGCGGCAGCCATGGTTATTGTGGTGGCTGTGGTGGGCCACTCAACGTGGAGGTGATGTTTTTGGCATGTGCCTTGGCACTGGCAGTGTGCCCGGTTGTGGGGTATGTCTGGTCCCTGGCGCAGCACTTGAACTCTGTGGTTTAGCTAAATTGCTGCTTTGCTGCCGCTTCCCTAGGGAAGGCTTTTTGTGCAGCTCGGGTTTTAATGGTTGACTTTATAAGTACTTCTGGCTCTCCAGAGACCTGGTGCAGCTGGGTTGTGTAGAAACTCTGATCTGGGCCTGAGTCTGTTCATCAAACTGTACCCATGCAATTCTGCATTCTCCACCAGTCTCCTCTGAGTGGCCCTGTGCTGACTGGGGGGCAGATCAGCTGTCCTTGCTGTGTCCCAGTGTTCCCTTGGTGGGCCCGTCTCCCCCACTGCCTGTGCTCCAAACACTTCCGGTGGGACTGGCTGTGTGCTGATCCCTTGCGATGACTCACCGGCCTCTGAATGGCTCCTTTTTTTCTGTTGTTTTGGCTCCTCGCTCCTATGTGGGTCCACGGGAACACTATTTGTGGTCTTGCTGCTCTAGGGGCCACCAAGGCCCTCTTCTATCCTGCCACCTTCAAGCAACTCCATCCAAAGGGCACAGCTGTGACTTTTGCCTGCTCCTGCTCTGTGCGCTTAGCAGCTCCAGCCTTAAATGCGGCACGAAATGGTTGGAGCGGTTTTTTCTTTTTCTCATTGTGACTTCTCCCACCTTCATGCACTCTGTAGGTCTCTCCTCCTCTTCCCCTGAGCTCTAGTGGTCCCAGCTTGGCTGTTGTTGCTTTTTTATAGTTGTGAATTGGTTGATTTGTGGGAGAGAGTGACGCTGGGGACTGTGTATTGTGCCATCTTGGCCGGAAGCCCTGTTTAACTTTTTAATGTGGGTGTTTGGCTCATTAATTTAAACTTTTCTTCTTAAATGTGCATTTCCCTCTAAATACTGCTTTAGCTGCATTCTACAAATTTTGGTATGCAATATTTTCATTATACTGCAAATTTATTCTGTTTTCCATGATGATTGCTTCTTTGGCCCACAAGCTTTTTTTTTTTTTTTTTAAATTTAATTTAATTTTGTCAATATTCAATGTGGTTGATTATTGTGGCCCATTATCAAAACCTTCCTCCCTCTCCCCCCTCCCTCCCAACAACCTCATATCTGTTCGCTTGTCGTAACAACTTCAAGGAATCGTAATTGTTGTGTCTTCTTCCCTCCCCCCCCATTTATTTGTGTATTTATTTATTTTTAGCTCCCACGTATGTGGGATCCGAACCCTCGGGCGGGAGCGCCGCCACGCTTCCCAAGCGGCGCACTATCCAGTGCGCCACCGGGCCGGCCCGATGTTACATTTTTATAGTTGTAAGTTGGTTGATTTGTGGGAGAAAATCATGCTGGGAACTGTCTATTTTGCCATCTTGACTGGAACTCTGTCTGTGAATTCTTTCACTTAGTGTGATGTCTTTAATATTCATCCATGTTGCAGCATGTCAGTGCTTCATTCCTTTTCATGGCTGAGTAGTATTCCATCATATGCACAGAACACGTTGTGTTTATTCTGTGCATCAGTTGATGGACTTTTTGGCTATTATGAATAGAGCTGTTGTGAACATTTGTGTACAAGTATTTGTGTGGACATATGTTTTCATTTCTCTTGGCTATAGGAATAGAATTTCTGGGTCATATGGTAACTCTATCTTCAACTTTTTAGGAAACTGAAACTGCTTTCCAAAATGTTTGTGCCATTTCACATTCCCAGCAGCAGTGTATGAGGGCTCCAGGTTCTCCACATGCTCTCCCACACTTGTTTTGTCTTTTTTTTTTTTTTTTAAATAATAGCTGTCCTTGTGAGTGTGAAGTGTTACCTCATCATTTTGATCTGCATTTCCCTAACAACTAATGATGCTGAGTGTCTTTTCATGTGCTTGTTGGCCATTTGTATGTCTTCTTTAGAGAAATGTCTATTCAGGTCTTTTGCTCATTTTAAAAATTGTTTTCTTTTTTTGTCATTTTTTTTTTTTTTTTTTTTTTTAAATAATAGCTGTCCTTGTGAGTGTGAAGTGTTACCTCATCATTTTGATCTGCATTTCCCTAACAACTAATGATGCTGAGTGTCTTTTCATGTGCTTGTTGGCCATTTGTATGTCTTCTTTAGAGAAATGTCTATTCAGGTCTTTTGCTCATTTTAAAAATTGTTTTCTTTTTTTGTCATTTTAAGAGTTCTTATGTATTCTGTATATGTCTCTTATCAGATATATGATTTGCAAATATTTCCCCCCATTTGTGGTTGTCTTTTCATTGTCTTTGATGGTGTCATTTGTTTCTTGTACTCTTGCTGTCATAGCTAAGAGATCATTACCTCACCCAGGGTCATAAAGATTTGCTCCTGTAGTTTTATTTACTCTTGTTCCATCCTAAACGAGTGACTTAACAATGTTTGTGAAACTGGATGTGGGAGTGAGTGTGTGAGGGCATGTGTGTGCGTGTGTGTGGCATGGATGGAGATGAAATTCTTGCCTGTGAAGTGCTGACTTCAGTTTAACTCAAGGAGATGAGATACTCTACTGGCTAGTTTATGTGTGTACTGTGTCATGCCTTGTGGTGTTGGATGGTGTCCCCTGATCCCAAGCAGCCAGAGTGAGAGGATATGGGTGTTGGTGTCATAAATGAAAAGTGTCAAGCTGTTGTTTAAAAACTGTGAAACTGCTGTAGAATAAATTGGTCCACAATCTTCATGTGGAAGGCTGACCTCCTCCTGCCTGGTGGTGCCCTCCACATGAGCGGAACCCTCTGTGCAGTCCTCTTTCTGCACCTGGTGGGGCATGGAGAAGCTGTCTCCTGGCAGGAGAAGTGTGTCAGGCGGAGATGATGGGTTCTGTCTTGGAGCAGGCTTGGGAGATGACGGGGCCAATGTTTATGGAGCATCTGCGGTATACTTCCTATGTTTTCATTTTTGACCTCACACCATTCCTCTGAGAGTGGTCCTGTCTGTATAAAGCCATAGCTGAGGGAGCCAGTGAGTCTTGCTGGAGTTCATACTCAGCCCTTCGGGCTCCTTGTTGCATGGCCGAGCACTCCCTGCACTTCCTTGTCTCCTTGGACGGTCGCCGTGTCCCACATGGCTGCAGGCATTCTCTGTCAGTTTAGTTTAAACAGCGGAAACAAATGCTTGGCAGAGAAATATCCCAGGAGGACAGGGTATAGATGAGCATGTTTGGTGAATAAAATTTTTGTTCAAGTCTTAGAGGAAATGTGAAGCTTCGTTGGCACATGGTAAACGGGGGAGAAGTAAAAGTAGAGAAGTCAGATTGGAAGGCAAAGATACCTGCTTCTTGATGGCTGCCTTGGAGACACCCTGGGTCCTTTTGCCCA